ATATTACCAATCTTCTTTGTATGCTTCTTGTGATCTTTCGCTAAAATGGAAAATATCTTGACCTTGAAATGACTTGTTTGCACGCCTGCTTTTGTTTGTTTAACTGGTAATAGATTGTTGGGCTTTTTAAATATAACTTTCACCCAATCTGACGCATTACCATAACTTTCTACGCATACCGTTAATGCAGCGGTAGTTTTTAATTCTTGTTTTCCAGCGTAAAGAAATTGACATGGACTTTTGAGTTTTTCCTCTAATTTTTAAATCAATTTCAAATGGCTTTTACATAATTTCGTCAAAAAACATAAGCATGAAATAAATCTAAGTATGCAAAAGAGGATCTTAATATACGCTTACAAAACTGTACTCTTATTTTAAGAAACAAGAACAAAGTAAACTTTTATTACCAAAACAAATCTTTTTCAATCTGATGAGCATTGAGGGTTAAATACGGCTGGTTTACGAAAATAACATTTGGTGAATTTACGAAAAGGTGCAAAAGGGCAGTTATGAAGAAGATGCTTAATCAACATACATTTTATCTAGATTTTTATAATTAGCTGATAAGTTTCTCTCACGGTTTTTAAATAGAAACTGTTCTAGTTCAAGATTCTTATAATAATGCAAAATAAACTTACCTGTATCTCAGTGTGTAAAGCAATGTTTATTTTTTCAAGCAGTTCTAGATTTAGTATAACTCATTAGAAATTTTTGACAACCTATTTTTTCACCTCTTTTAGAATCGTAATAGTCTTTTCCAGTTTTTTCACACTGCAATCAGAACTTAATTTTTTGACTATAAAAAAAGTATTACTTTACAATATTTGTAAGTGCAGAATCATGTTGTATTTCGTTTGCTTACGCAACGTGCGCTAACTTAACTAGCATTCCCTTTTATAGAAATTTGAAAAAAGCTGCTTAAATTTGCTTCTGCTATAGATAATGATTTTTTATTTTAAACTTCGCTGTATTACATAGCTAATTAAGACAGAATATTCCATTTCTTATCTCTATGCTGAAATTTTTGTTTTTTCGGTACTACATATTTGTGGTGGTCAGGCTTCTAGAAAAAACTCTTGCTCGTTTCAGTTACAGTTTTAGGTTGGTTTTTGGAAAACGGTGTCTTCCAGAGCTCAGGATTGCACGCTTAAGACATTTTTGTTTTTTTAAATAAATATTTACACATGTTTTATTATACCAACAATATGTTTCTGCTCAGTTTTTTGTAAATACTAAACTTGTAGAAATACGGTTTTAGGGAGCTAAGCAATTTCATTTTTTTAAATTTACACTGAGTCTGGAATTCTACTGTGAGGTTTTTTTTAAATTTGTAAGTAGCTAAAAGTTTTGAAATCTTCTTGCTACTTGCATTGATTAGGTCATTTTTTTATAAGATGAATGAGATTCTGAATTTTATTTTTATTTCTTTTCAGCTGAGATGCACCAAAATTTTTTCATAAGAATCGAAAATTTGTAAGTTTCGATTTCTAAGGTAACAATTTGGAATATAGATAAGTTGGAGGGCTAGTGTTCATGATTGATTTTGCTCTACGTATGACTGTTTGGTATTGTTTCAAAGACTAAAATTTTTTACCTATTGTCATTCTCGTACTATATTTTTATTATTATATCTATAATTATGTTATAAAAGCTAAGCCTTTGAAGTGTTAGTGAAAGTAGTAAACGGCTACTCTAGTTGGTTTTAATTAATTCATGTCTATAGATCCTTATCGTTGCTGATTGCTTTCTTCAAATATTCTCAAACATATGCAGGTCATTTAGAAGTGATGCTATCATTTGGACATATTGCTTCAAAAAGCATCTCTCTAGAGCAAATCTTTTTGGTAACTTAACCACATTCAGGAATTCCTCATTTTTGTTTATCAATTTTTATCTAAAGTCGCAAATTAATTTCTATTCGGCAAATACAAAAGATTTTTTGAAAGAAGTTTTGCAAAGAAAGTAATATTAAGAAAATAAAATAATTTTCTTGATCTTGAATAGTCTCTGCCGTTTCTCAAATTTTTTGCCACTTGCTGAAAATTATTATTTTAGTCGAAATTTATAAAGTACGCCGGTGCTCTTCACCACTTACTGTAACGGTATTTTTTACGTCTGCAATTCTTTACTTATCAAGCTGACTGTAATGAAAAAAATGGTCAGCTAGTTATGGCTATTAAACTGTTTTGTTGCTATTTTTTATGCAAAACTATAAAAATGTTTGGGTGAATAAACAATGTTATGACTTTTATTTGCAGTTTTCTCAAACGTTTCTCACTTGTCAACTTTACTATTGCGCGTGCTTACCAGAGTATGGAGAGAACTGGTAAAAAATGTTGCTCCTTGTGCGGCTAATTCAAAAAGTAAAAAAAAAAGCAAATTGAAATGTGTGCTTAGGAAAGACGTACATCACGAAAGTAGTGACAAGTTTTAAAATCAGATTTTTGCTACTGCTTACTTTATCCAAAAGATTGGGAAAATGATCTAAGATTTAGTTTACCTGCCACGAGTTCTTTTACAAATATTTTTTGATTTTACTTCTATTTTATTTTATTATTTTTTTTTGGCGAGTTTCTTGAGGCACAAATGATAAATACTTCTCTTGGACACTAAAAAGATGCAAAGTACCAATGTTTTCATAAATCTGCATCATCAGTGTTGGCCCCGTTGAGACCCATCTGAGAGGGGAAGTCAGTAAAACTTAAAAAAAAAGCAGTTGTCAGTATAGTACGTTTGAATGATGAGGAGAAAAGCGAAGTCCATATATGTTTTAGGCGGTGTCTTGACCTTCAAGTACAGGTTGTCTGTCGTGTTAACGAATTTTTAAAAATACGAGTGGTGAGCACGTGACAGGATGCAACGAATGAAGTGGAGTCAAGGTGGTATAAAAGTAACTATTGATAAACTTTTTGAAGGCAGACGTTTATACGTCTTTTTCTTTTCGTGGTTGTCAACTACTACTTTTCTTTCTATTTATAATTAAGAGTTGATGCTGTTGAGAAGAACAAAAAATTTATTAATTTTCATTCGATAGATTAAGTATAAATATATTATAAGTAGTCTTCAAATGGATCTAGTTACATCTCAACAGCGTTTGCTGGAGTAAGTATTGGAAAAACTACATTCATGCAGCTTTGTGCAATATTTGCTGCACAGGCGGAGAATACGAGCGTCCTCAAATTTGTTGTTGATTAAATGAACGTACGCCAGAGAAAGTCAAAATTTCCTTTTCTCTGGCCAAATACAGAAGGAAGCAGTTTAGACGCTATTGATTGAGCGGCTACATACTTTTTTAATTACATTTTTCAAATGTGCACTTTGAATCATTTGTGTTCAAACTTTCTAATAGGTTTTTGCCATTTCTATGTATCGAGCAGTTATAAACAAAATAGTATTTGGACCGCTTGATAAAAAAAAGACGGTTATATTCAGCTTACGATTGGAAAAGAAGCTTTTCTATTTACCTTTTCAGCAGCTTCTTAAGAATACGTCGTTTATCCTCTGTTACAAAACGCACTACTTCTTAAACACTGCCCGCTCAGGTCTTTATACTCTGCGCAATCAAGTTTTACTTGTTTGTTCAAATCTTTTTAAACACTTTGCATATTTATACTGTTCTGAACCCGAATTATTCATCAACAGTTAGAAATCTATCACATTATAATATTTACTGTAAAAACCGTGATTTGGAGAGCTTCTTCTAACTTCTATAATCTTCCTTAGAAGCATATTTTGTCTTCAGTTCTCAACTTCTTTTTACTCTTTTATTGCTTCTTATGCCTCGAAAACAGGCAAACAACTGTTTTCTATTCTATTTCCTCACCTTATTTTTCTATATTTCTACTCTTTCTATTATACTGCGAGAACGAAGCCGAATGGAGGAGCCATACTTGCGGAAAAACAAAAAGTGCAGTTCTAACTGTGGTTT